TATGTCAAACTAACAAGATATAAGTAAACAAATTATGACATAAGGCTAAGTCCTAGCAACTGGAAACTGCCATGTCATAATGCACAGCTCCATTTTACCATCTATACTTATTTAAAGTTGCAGAAGCAAAAGCTGACATGCTTGGTGAAATGGAGGTCAGCATCACAATGCTCATAAAAAAAAAATCTATTACAAATTTTCCTAAACTTGAGTCACTAGCTTAAGACTGCCTTTTACTTGTGAGGTTTGTCATAAGTGTTGCAACATTTTCCAAATTAAATCAAAATTTCATGTCCCAGAAATGTTAGATACTGTCCAGGAAAAGAAGTTCCTCCAATCATTCTTGAAATAATTAACAAAATATATAATGAAGAGTTTCTAGTATCTAAGCCCCACAAGCTTTGCAAAATCCCCTTAGGTCTCTTAACCCATTGTTGCCAAGGAGCCAGAAATACATGTCATGTCTACTGTGTCTTTCTGTGTACTGATTGTCTATACAGATAAAATTCAATGACTACTCCTCCTACCTAGCTCACCTATTTACCTTTTTCCTTGAATTTTGGAAACTATATATACATTTTTTATTGCTATTAACATTGCTTATAACATTACAATGATCATAATGTTAACAACAATAATAACAATATTGATATTAGAAAAAAACATGCCTTCCTAAAAACTCAAATAAAATGGAAATCAGCTGAGGTCTTGTAGGCTTACTTATTGCAACATGGTGGCTGAGCACTTGTGGAGTCATCTCCATGCAAACAAAAATTAACAAAAGAAATGACAATAGAACATGTGATTACCTGGCATCATTTGGTTAAATATGTTGAGAAAAGCTAAATGCTGTGTACAGTATTATAAATATAACATTTAAAAAGTGCTGACATCTTTCGTGTTGAATTTTTTATAAAAAAGTGTTATGACTCGTATACAACAATAATATTACATTCTAAGATGGTCTTTAAAATGCTGACAGGTTATTAGTTCTATTCACCTATATTAGAAAAAAAATATGCACATAAAGCACTGTAAAATTAGATAATACAAACTTTTAACTTTGACTGCAACTTCTTTGCAGTCTTTTTTGGAGGGGAGTCAACATCCATCCTTTCAGACTCTTCATCTTTGACAGAGTCTTGAGATTCAGTCTTAATTGGAGAAGAAACAGTAGACTCTGTCTTGACTGGTGATACTACCTCAGACTTTACTGATGGGGATTCAGAGTCTGTGGGAGATGTATCAGATGATTTGGGAGATTCTGTCTTCTTTGTGGCTGGAGGTGCCTTGCTGAAGAAAGATGATATTCCACCCTTCTTCTTGCTACCAGAAGATGGGGTAGTTTTTGCTGTGTCCTGAGGAAAGACAGTTCTTAGTGCTGATACAACTACTGTTCTGAAATTTGTTTCTTTCATAAAATGACATTCTTTTCAATTCCCCAAATACAATGATTGTTGCCACTTATTCAATTTACATTTATCAACAAAATACTTAGTCCAAATCATTACAATTAATTTACATTTGCAAATTCTATAAAAGAAAATGATGGGAATATATTTCTCATAGTTCTATACAATAAAAAACAATACATACATTTCATAAGGAGGAGGAGGAGGAGGAGGAGGAGGAGGAGGAGAGGAGGAGGAGGAGGAGGAGGAGGGAGGAGGAGGAGGAGGAAGAGGAGGAGGAAGAAGAAGACAAGGAGGAGGAGGAAAACAAGGAGGAGGAAGACGACAACAAGGTGGAAGAAGATGAAGGGAGAAAAAAGAGGAAGACAATGACAATGACGATGATGATGCAGAAGAAGAAAAGTAGGAGAGGAGGAGGAGGAAAATAAAAAAAAAGATGGAGGATTAGGAGGGAGAGAAGAAAAAAAGATGAAGGAGGAGGAGGAGGAGGAGAAAAAAAAAGATAAAGAGGAATAGGGAAAGATTTAGAGGGAGGAAACAATGGAGCAGGAGGAAAAGATTTAGAGGAAGGAAAAGGAAGAGAAGTCATAGTAATAGGAAGAGGAAGAGAAAGATGAGGAGGAGGGGGATGAAGGGGAGGAGGAAGATGATAAAGAAGAGGAAGAACAGATGGAGGATGATGACAAAAATAAAGAGGAGTAAGACCAAGAGAAGTACCAAGATGGTGACCAGGTTGAGAAGAAAGACAAGACAATGAGGAGGACAAGGAAGAGGAAAAGAACAGCATGAAAGATGATATGGAGGGAATGGAGGGAGGGAGGGAGAGGAGGGAGAGGAGGGAGAGGGAGGAGGAGGAGGAGGAGGAGGAGGAACAGGAGGAGGAGGAGGAAGGAGAGTAGGAGAGGAGGGAGGAGAGGAGGAAGAGGAGTAGGAGGAGGAAGAGGAGTAGGAGGAGGAAGAGGAGTAGGAGGTAGGAGGAGGAGAGGAGAGGAGGAGGAAGAGGAGAGGCAGGGAGGAGGAGGAGTAGGAGGAGGCTGAGGATGAGAATGAGGCTGAGGTTGAGGAGAAGGAGGAGGAGAAAAAAAAAATGAAGGAAAAGGAGAAGCAGGGGAAATAGGAAAACAAAGAGACAAATAGAAATCAAAGAGGAAAGAGGAAAATAAAAAAAGTCAAGGTACTGATTTGCTTACTTTTTCAGATTTGTTCTCAACCTCTTTTGTTCCTTCCTGTTTTTCTTCTTTGACCTTTGTCTGGCGGGCAAACATGGACGCAATCTGATTCCCCTTGCCAGGTGCTTTGTTTACACCCGTCTGTTTGTTCTCACCCTGTGATTCCTTCTTTGGGGATGTCTTGGTCTGGTTTGGTTTGTACTTACTCTGAAGAGTGAAATGTATTGAAAAGAAAATGAAACGAGTGGTGACTATAATGTATCACTGATAAAGGAAAAAGCCTTTCGAGATCAAATTGAAAGATCTCAACCTAATTCTTAAAATTCCAACAAATTAAACAAAACAAAAAAGAAATCATATATCTTTTCATTTCTTAAATTCAGCAGAATACTAAGTCTCATACCGGTATTTTGGCTGGCTCTGGAGGTGCCTGATAAGCATTCTGTTTTTGTAAGTTTTCCAAATCTGCTGATGATCTGATTTTTGCTGCGGTACACTCAATACCACTATACCTGGAAATTTAATAACAATTTTAGTCTCAACATAAATCCATATAATCTGTTCTCTTAAGGATAAATGAACATAAAGCCTAAAGGTGGGCCTATTATTTCTTTTTGTTCTCAATTATTATAGACTGGAGGAAACCCCAATTAAGAAGAGAAATTTGCAGATGCCTTTTGGAAAACTATAATTTAAGAATCAAAACAAACAAAAATATTATTCATGGCCCTGGTTGCTTTTCAAGAAATTTCATGATTTTTTAACAGCCCTTTTCAAAAGATAAATCATATGCAATTCTTTTAAATGCACATATTTGCCTAATTTTTCAAATCACGAAGCATATCAAAATGCTCAAATTTCACTAATGTGTTATAACTGAAACTCAAAGACACAGTCAAATGCAAACGCTACTGTTGTTTTGGAGAAAAGGAGGGCATTTTTCTTGGGCTAACACTTCACTGTATCATGCACAAAATTACAATTTTCTCACAAAACTAATTTCATCAACTACTTCCATTAAAAAAACAGCTTGGGGTAGTTAAACAAATATCTCTATATAGTAAACACTAATGCAAAAATCATTACAAGAAATAGACAATGCAGACATAGGATCTAAAAATATATAAAAGACTAAGTATAAATCATCAAGACAAACAAGAACCGACTTTCCAAACACTCACTTGTTAATACTCAAAACATTTTCTTTGACTTTATCATAATTTGCAGTATAAAGAACACTCATGTCAGGCAGCTTGGTCTTTTGCACACTGTAGACATGTACTGACATCACATCTTTTAATTTGGACTTTGCACTTGCCAAATTCTCCTCCCTCACCAACATAATCTGCCCAAAAATAAGTAAAACAAATTGTTAGATTTTAATAAATGAAGCCAAAAAGTTCATATCTCAAACATGAATGTTACACAAACATTAGTAACTTAACAATATATCAGTTCCTTATTTTCTCACATCTCAAACATCAGTGACTTCACAATATATCAAGTCATCCTAATAAAAACAAACTATTTAACTGCTACTATTGAACTTTGAAAAAATAAGTTTACATAGCCAATATCAACTTCAAAAGATCTATGAAACAAACACTATTATTCACTTTCAAAGTTACTATCTTACTTTGTGCATATCAGGGAGACCATCTTTCCCTGCCTCTAGTCCAGACACAAAATATGTGACATTAAGATTGTCACCTTTGTCTGAATTCCGTTGATTTGTGACAAAGTGGTAGAGCATTCTGAAAATATAATTCATATCAAAATAATATACCAAACCATCTTCTCAAAACAATATCTTTATAAAAAAAAATATATACATAAATAAAATCAATATGTAACAAATAGTTTATATACAATACAAAAGAAAATGTCACAATCAACATACTGCTTAGCAACATTGCTTTGAACTCCAAGAGTCAAACTCAGCCACTTGTAGGTAACCTGTTTGAGAAGAATAGTTTTAGCCAATTCTGTCTGGGAGCCACATAGTTGTAAAACCACCTTTTAATAAGGTCTGTACCAGATATATTTGTTTCTCACCCATAAACTACCTGTGTCTAGGCAACGTATATTACTCATTTCAATGTGTTCATAAAAAATTCTGCATGTCCAACCACATTAAAGTCTAATAATAAAATGCAAAGAAAAGGATGGTATGAAAGAATTACTGGATTTTTACAAGTTGCCTAAGCATAAATTTCAAGCTATAAAGCACTTTACTAATACAGAGACAAAGTACATGAGATTAGGTTGGGTCAAAAAAATTATGCCCCCTATACAAAGGTGACATGACCATCATGTCATGAATGACTCACCATAAGTGCACAAAGCTCTTAGAGGGCGATTAGACTCTGTGGGCATTTAGGACTGGGCTCTTTGAACCATTCGTATCATAAACAAGTGT